GAGAGCATTGACTTTGAATACAGATGATAACACAGCAAGACTATTGCCTCATAACTACATTGCTGTGAGCAGACTGGGAATAGGGTAATAGTGCTTGGAGCTGGCAGAGGTGCAACTGTAGATGGCCATGGGTGCTGCTTTGGAAGGGCCTAAGGATACAGTTGTTGAATGATTGTAAGAACAAGAGAAAGGTGGACTCTCAATAAGGCAACCCTACAGTATGTTTATGAAGCCTACAGTAGGTTTAGTGTATACTCCTTTGGCGCATGCTTATAAATTGACTGAACAATAACCAAACACCTCACTGGGAAATGTTTTGAATTGATGTGAGAATTTGACATTAAGTAGCAACTTGGGACATCAGAGAAGCCTCAAAAAGAAAAAAAAGTTAACAAGAAATTAGTGATTAGGTTGAAAGAGACATTCTACTTCCACTACCCAGAGAACATAGATAGAGAAAAATGAGCACCTTCTCCACCCATACCAGGACTTAGGCAGCTGCTGCCTGCAATAGCTGTAGGCCTAGTCCTCATGCACCTTACAGAGGAGGAGTCAGTACAAGCTCAGACCTAGTTGATAAGAATGAACCAAAATGAAATAAAAAGTCCCTGTGGCTGGAGCTATATGGGTAATAGCTGTAGCAAATATTTGTGTAGTCAATTATAGTTTATGGTGCAAAAGACTAAAATCCCTCCACAAAATCTCTCGGGATAAATATTTTCACTTTTTCAGATGAAAATAGTAACTTTTCAGATGAAAGCTTATTGCTAACACTTGATTTTTGAGATTTATATATATTATATATCAGTTAAAATAGCTTTAAGATTCTAAAAATGAAAGCTCATTTTTTTCTCTTTAAGAGGAAGTGATATATTTTTATTACATGCATGGGATTGAAGGAGTATGTTATTTAATAGTAGAGCATTGGACTAGAGATTGGGAATTACTGCTTCTGGTCTTGATGCTGCCAGTAACTGAATGTTACTCAGGGTCTCTTTTTTTTTCAAGTGTAAATTGAGTCAGTCTTAGAGGGATTTTCCTAGGATGTATCTCAGCTTCGCACATGAGTTTCAGCAACATACCCAGTGGCTGTCAGTTGTTGGAAAGATGCAGCTGGCCCTGGCATTTTCAAATAGAAAGTCTTTGTGTCTTCCCAGAAGGGAGTTGTAGTTTTTTCCTTCAAAGAGCACACACAGCATTTGATCTGTAGCCTTTCTCTTTTCCATCTCACTTCCATTCTGGTTTGGGCCCTGAGATAGAAGTAACAGTTCAGGTATAGGCTATTTAGTTTATTGATGTATGACAGGACCTTGATTAGTACCTGGCCTGGGAGACATCTGTTGAATGAATGACTTAGTATATAGGAGCTTGCAGTCTAGTGGAAAGGCAGAAAGGTGAATGTGGAAAGGCTAATACCTGTTCTTTCATTGAGACTGTATTGGAAGTTTGAGAAAGGAACAGTGGGTACAAGGAATGGTAGCTTTAGGTAGGCAGGGTTGGGATGGAGTGGACAACTGGTTTGATCAGTGAAGGCTTGGATGTTTAGACTGGGTCTTGAAAGGTGACTCCCTCCCAAGGGGCCAGGAGAGAAGGCAATGTAGGCATGTGCAAAGTCAAGGAGATGGGTGTAGAACAGGATATGAAATATTAAGGAAAAAAAACTAGAATTTGAGGTTGGAGAGTTTGGCCATCACCAAATGATGAAGTCTTGAATGCTGTACAAAGAATTTGAATTTTTCTGTAAACAGACAGTAGCTATTGAAGAATTTGAAGTAGAGAGTTACCATCATCACATTTGCATTTTAGGCGGATGGTAGCAGGAATTAGGGCAGGAGAAATGGGATGAGAGAAGAGAGGAATTTATTAAATATTTAGGGATTGATGAAGTCATGGCTAAGAATGAGAGAGAAAGAAGAGTTGAGAACAAGCCCTATGTTCGAATTTAGGAAGCTGGGTGTTTGTGGTGTCATTAATGAGGTAAGGAAGGCAGGAGAAAGAAGAGATTTGTGGCAAACGTGAGTTCAATTTTGGACACTGGGTGTGAGGTGCTTCTGGATTGCCGGAAGGAAGTTTTCATTAGACAGTTCATTGTGGAGACCGGGCTTCTGGGATATAGGTCTCAAGCTCGAGCGAATGCATTTATTAATGGAATTTATTAGTTTATCAACAGCAGTTAGAAATCAAGAGATTGGATGAGAGTACCAGTACAAGAGCACATAGAATAAGAAGAGAATAAGGGCAAAAGACAGAATGTTGGGCCCTTCAGCATTGAAGTGTAGGCAGGAGAGGGGAAGCTGCAAAAGAGATAAGATGTGGCCAGAGTCCTCGGAGAACCAGGACAGCAGGATGTCAGAAAAGCCAAGGGAGGACTTTCCAGAAGAGGGGAATGGCCAGAGGTGTTAGATGTTAAAGGTAAGCCATATAAATAAGATGTTTTATAAATATGAAATACTTAATTACGTAAATATCAAAAGTTATTTATTTGGTCATTGGTGACTTCTACCAGAGGATGTTCACTGTTGCACTGAGGGTAAAAACCAGATAGTGGTGAGTTCAGGAAGTGGAAATGGGAAGAAGACCCTTGATACAGGAGGAGGATCACTCAGTTACTTGAAATGGAAATCCTGGGCTCTTCCTTGATGACTTCTGCTTTACTCCCACATCTACTCGGAGATTGGGTAGTGATGCTGAGGGATGTTTGAGTGGGATCTTGAGACTTAGACTTTTTGGGTTCGAATCCTTCCTCTGCTAGTGATAAAGTATCTGATCCAGGGCCGGTTATTTAATCTGGCTGTGCTTCAGTTTTTTTGCCTGTAAAATAGAGATATAAAAATATCTATCTCATAGGCCTGTGAAGGAGTAAGTAAGTGAAGTGCCTAGCTTAGTGTAGCGCCTGGCACATAATAAGCACTCAGTGAATGTTAGTATTTTAAATCCTAAATACCTTTTAAGTGTGTTCTCCCTTGGATTACCATAATAGCTTTTTTTTTTTTTTTTAAAGCTTATTAAATTACTGTAGAGTAATTTACATGCCATGAAATTCACCTATTTTAAGTTTACATTCCAACACTTTTTTTTTTTTTTTCCGAGATAGGATCTTGCTCTGTTGCCCAAGCTGGAGCACAGTGAGTGTCATGATCACAGCTAATTGCAGCCTTGACCTCCTGGGCTCAAGCGATCCTCCCTCCTCAGCCTCCCAAGTAGCAATTCAACACTTGATAAATTTACTGAGTTGTGCAAACATCACTACAAGCCAATTTTAGAATATTTTTTATCATCCCAATAAGATCTCTTGTGCCCATTTACAGTTAATCCCTATTCCCACCCCAGCTCTAGGCAACTACTTATCTCCTCTATAGGGATGCTTTTTCTGGGTGTTTCATGTATTTCATATAAATAGAATCATTCAATGTAGGCCCTTGTGTTTGCTTCTTTCACTTAGTTTAATGATTTTTGGGTCTATCTGTGCTGTAGCATATGTCAGAACTTCACTGCTCTTTACTGCTGAGTTGTGTTCTGTTGTATGGACATGTAAGATTTTGTTTATCCATTCACCGTAGATAGACATGTGTTTATTTCCACTCTTGCTCTTATGAATAATGCTGCTATGAACATTCCTGTGCAAGTCTTTGTGTGGACATATGCTTAATAGCTTCTTAATTGGTCCTTTAGCCTCCTTCAGGGATCCTGCTTCTGTTCTTGTCCCCCTCCAATCTGTTCTCTACACTGTAGCCAGAGTGATTTTCCTAAAGTGTTAATCTGATTGTGCCATTCCCGTGCTTCAAATCCTTCAGTAGTGCTCAGGTACCCTCAGGATCAAGTTCAAACCGTTTCAACTAAAGAGTTCACTAAGAATCCTCAAAATCCTGGAATCTATACCTTCCCTCCCCACCTTCTCTTTCACTATGCCCCCTTCCACTTTCTTGCTTCAGCCATTTATTCATATTGTTTCGTTGATTCATTCAATTAACTAGGCTTAGTGAGGCTCTGGGAATATAGCGATACGACAGCCAAATCCATGCTTTCACAGAGCTTTCTTTCTAGTAAAAGGCAAATATCAGATAGTGGTAAGTGCTATAAAGAAAATAAAAAAGGATGACGCGATAGTAACTGTGGGAATGATGACTCTCAAATCCGCAGGCCTGGGTGTTCCTCAGAGCCTCTGCTCTATTGCCAGCTGCCTACTTGATATCTCCACTTGTATGTCTGACGGTGGCAAATTCTGGTTTTCATCTGTACTTTAATGTGATTTTTCTCGCCCAGGAGCACTTTTATCCCACTGCATCTTTTCCTAACTTTTACGCATCCTTACCTTGTAAATCTTCCCTAATCCTCTGCTCCAGCCCTGTCTTCAAAGCCTGGCTACATGTGCTGCCCATTATGGTTTCTGTATACTTCCATTACATGCTGACTCACTCAGGTAGCAGTCTTCGTGTTATATTTAAATGCCTGCTGGTTGTTTATTCTATTATGCTTTAAGCACTTGATAATTTTGAATACTCAGAATCTAGCCTAGTTTCTGGCACATAGTCGATGCATCATGAAATCTGTTGAAAGAGCGATTGTATGTGGTTAGCTTTGAACGGGAGGGAGGGGAGGGGGAAGGAACACTTTCCTTTGGGACTAGAGGGAGAGAAGGAGCTAAGGCCCATTAATGCATAAATAAATGTGTAGGATTAGGGGAGGAAAGTTGAAGTTTAGATAGCATATATTTCCTCAGAGATTACAATTTCGTGCACAGTATAAAATGAACAGTGTAGTTATTTATAATGAACAATTAGCAGTGCATTAGAGAAAATAAAGGAGCAGTGCTGTGGGGTGCATCTTGAAATCTTAAAATTATTCTTCCTTCTGGTTTTATGGCTGTTAGATTTAGCCTAATTTCTTTAGGCCATTCGTCGTATGTATGGATATGGATGACTAAATTACTTGGATGTTACTGCATTGGTTTTCATTCTTGCTCTTTTATAATTGATTTTATTTTGATGTTGCTTTTCCAGCTTTCGGAAAATGTGATTGATCGAATGAAGGAATCCTCTCCATCTGGTTCGAAGTCTCAGCGGTATTCTGGTGCTTATGGTGCCTCAGGTATTGCTAAATTTTAATTTTAGAGTTTTTAGGAGAAAAATTATAAATGGAAAAAGTTGACTCAATAGTCAAGTTCTCTAGCATTCTGTCTTTCATTATTTGGATGTTTAGCTTTTTATAAGGAATATTAGAAGCCAATATCGGGGTTTCTTTTAAAATGTTTTGTACTAAGAATGAAACTATTTTCAAACAGTCTTTGAACATTTTGTTTTCTCTTCCCACTCCTGAATCCTCTACTAGGCTTTGGAAAATTACTTTATATCTTTTTGTATAAGATGGATTGCTTATATTAGGGATATTAGAGATTTAGGAATAAATATTTATTAAAAAAATTGAACTTAGAAAATATTGATTTGCTATTTTCAAATTGTGAAGTATTCCAAATGATTTTATTTTCTAATAAATTTCTTCTAAGTTTATAAAAGATTTAGTTTGTCGTAGTCAGTCTTAGTTATTGATGGAAATATGGTGGCAAATGGAATCCATAAAGAATTATTAAGCCTAATTTTATCTGTAGGTCCTGCTGATAAGAGACTTAATGCTGTTTCTTCTCCCTTTTCTCTCTCCTGCCACACTCATCTGTTTATCCAATATTTTACTAAGCACCAGCTATGTGTCCAGCACTGTTCTTGATACTGCCCAGTTGATGGATAGATATGCTATTTATTGTGAAATGGCAACAAGAAAATAATTGGGATAATTAATTTTGGATTAAGTGAGATTTTCCTGTACTTATCAGAAAGGGGAAATCTGTCTCTAGACTGTGAAATTGAGAAAGATGAGATCCTGCCCAAATGACATTCACTTGGGCCAGTTGTGACCCCCCCACCGCCTGCTTACTAATCGTTAAGTCAGTAAACATGAATTGAGCTTCTGATATGTTTAGAGGAGAGGGTACCAAGGTGAATAAGAAATAGTTCTTACCCCTTTGAAGCTTCTTGTTTAGTACTAGAGTTGAGGATTCACAGTTAATTAATGCTAGATAGAAAGTGAGCATGCCTTCCTTGTTAGAAACCCTTTTTTTGGCTTCTGGACCACACTCTTGGTTTTCCTTCCACCCTACTTGCAATCCTCAGTCCAGGGTTCTTTGCTGATTTCTACTAAGTAATCTTGTCCCAATGTATGGTTTTGAAATCTTTATCTAGATGCCTGTGACTCCCAAAATTATATCTCTAGCCCTGACCTTTCTCTGAAATTCCAGACATTATAATAGACAACTGCCTACTTGAAATCTCCCCTTACCGATTTCTCAACTTAACATATCCAAAATCAACCTTTATTTTCACCCCCAGACTTGCTTTTCTTCTCTGTCTTTCCCAGTAGATGGCACAGGTAGTCAAGCCCCTTCTTGGGGATTCATCCTTGTTTTCTTTTTTCCTTACTCCTTACATCAGACTGTTAGCTAGTCTTGTCAACTCCATTTCTAAAACATGTCTAAATATGTTCCTTTTGTATCCATCTCCTCTGCTATAGCTCCAATCCAGATAGATAACCACTGTCTTCTGCAGAAGTCTCTTAACTGGCCCCCTGCTTCCACTCCTCCGCCCTGTGCTGTGCACACAGAAGTCCTCACAATCTTTTGAAGAAAAGCAAATCAGGTCAAGTTGTGTCCCAGAGGTGGCTCTCCATGGTACGTAGAATATAGTCTGAGCTGCTTCTCTGGGCTTCCATCATATATCATGACTGGTCCCTGTCTGCCTTCCAACATCATCACATTATTCATCATCTCCTATCACCCTTCCTCTACTTATTCACTGTGACTGCTATCTTCCCTAGAAGATAAGCTCCAGGGAACTTGTCCCTCATCTCTTTGTTCACAGCTGAATTCTCAGCTCCTAGGATAGTGTACCTGCTTCTTGGTAAGTGCTTATTGTTTGTTGAATTAATTTAAGGGCATTATCCATTTTAAAAGTAGCTACTTTTGTTCATTTTGGAGAGTTCTATACGTTTAATTCAGGTGACATTTATTGAATGTTTCTGTTATGCAAATAAGTAAGCCAGGTATTTTGAAAAGATGCAAAAATAGGAAAAAGTTCTTTTTTTGGCAGATAAACTACATATATAACAAGACTATAAGGGAGGTAGAAACATAGTATAAAAGAAACCTAGGAGATACTGAAATTAAGTTTATCAAATATTTTGGCTTAAGAAGATGCCTTGTCATGCAGAAACAAATGGCTGTCCAGTTTATTAAAATGCCCAACAACTGCACTTCCGGTCACTCGGGCCTTGCATATAAATACCATTGCGTACAGTGAGCACATCTCGCTGACGATAAATGTACCCTTGCTTCCTCCCCTTCCTCAAAATGGTGAATCTGTTCATATCTACATGTATGAACTTAAAATATGGAAAATGTTAAGGAAGCAAATGGTTTGTAACTTTGTAAGTACTTATGACGTGGTGTATCTTTTTGCTTATGAATATTCTATGCTATACCCATTGTTTCTGTAGTTTAATTAAAACATTTTCTTGGTGTTAAAAAAAGAATGATGATGTATGGATACATTTAAAATCGGAATTTGTTCTAAAGTATGATTCGTTGTAGGTAGATTTTTTTTCCTACCTCCTATATTAAGGAATGAGGGTGATGATGATGATGATTCATTCAATATACTGAAGTAATAACAGATGACACTTAAACAAAATTTATTACGTGGTAGGTACTCTTCTAAATCCTGTGTATGTCTTATCTCATTTCATCGTTATAACCCTAGGAAGAAGGACCTGTGATAACCCATTTTACGCAGAAGGAAACTGACACTTGAAGTGATTAATTATTTTGCCCAAAGTCACACAGCTGGTGAGCAAAGGAGATGAGAGTTACATTCAAGTTTGTCTGACTCCAGAGCAAATGCTGTTAACCACTTTGTCTTATTTTAATTTGAATGACATCTTGCTTTAGAAAGGATATGACAGAAACTAGTTGGAACAAAGGAGCTGCTTTTTAGTGATGTTCTGCTTGAATTAAGGAAAGAACCTGTTGTCTATAAGTGATTGTTGGTTGTTCTCAATTTTTCCCATATTGACTCTCAAATAGTGAGTGGAAGGAGAGAAAATGTTTTCTTTCTTGGGTTGTTTTGACACCTTGAGAGAGTGGGGATGGGTCAGGAGGTTTTCTGTGAGTTCTGTGGTGTGTCTGGCCCGAAGAGCATGACACTGATGTGAAGAGCTCTGGCTTTGCTGAGGGACCCATCCCTTCTCACTCCCCATTTGAAATGACTGATGAATTCTGTGGTCCATGACCAGCTGTGACCAGCCTGGGCACTGAAAGCTCTTAGAATGCCATCTTGTGGGCTGGGTTTGGTGGCTCATGCCTGTAATCCCATCACTTTGGGAGGTCGAAGTGGGCGGATCACCTGAGGTCAGGAGTTTGGGACCAGCCTGCCTAACATGGTGAATCCCTATCTCTACTAAAAATATAAAAAATAGCTGGGCGTGGTGGCACATGCCTGTAATCCCAGCTACTCGGGAGACAGGCATGAGAATCGATTGAATCTGGGAGGTGTAGGTTGCAGTGAGCCGAGATTGCTCCGTTGCACTTCAGCCTGGGCAACAGAGTGAGACTCCATCTCAAAAAAAAAAAAAAGTATGCCATCTTGTGTTTTAGTGGTCAGGCTAGAACTACACTCTCCAAATGGAAGCCACTAGTCACATGTGGCTCTTAAAAGTTAAGTGAAAATTAAGTCAATGATCAAATGAAAACTTCAGCTCCCAAGTTGCACTCATCACACTTTATGCTCAGTAACCGCATGTGGCTTGTGACTACCATATTGGACAGTGCAGATATAGGACATTTCTGTTATTGCAGACAGTTGTGTTGCATAGCTCTGATCTAGAATACACCAGTGCTTTTTATTTTCTGTCTGCACCATGATGTGAAAAGGACTCAACAAGGGTCATAGGACAGGTTCTTTGAGTACATGGTTTCTCTCACCCATTCCAACCTAACCCAAAAAAGAATTAAGATTTAGCATGCTATTTTGAAATGATCTTGCTTTAGGTTAAGAATGCAATTCGACTATGTGTAAATTAACAAAGATTTATTCTTCTTAGAATTAAAAAAATTGATTTATAAAAGCAGGAAGCCTGAAAATTTATGTTCTGTTCTGAGTTGGTCTCATTTAGGGGTTTTAGTTAGTACTCAATAATAGATTTCTTACGATTTAAAATTTAGATGTGTTATGAAATAATTTTTCAAGCCTACAAAAATGTATTGATAAAAGTGTCACTCGCCTTTTTTACATTTTTCAGTATGAAGTAAATTATATATTAAATGTGAGTTGAATTTTAAGTATTTATTACAAAGCCTTCTTTCTCACAGGACTCTTAGTCATACCAGCCCTAGGCTATTCGTATGTGTGAATATAGGGCAGTGTATTTGATGAACTGAGAGCCCTAGGATTTCTGTATATAGGAACTCAATTTTGTCATAAAAATAGTTTTGAGAATACATTTTATACTGTAAGAAGGTGGGTTCCTCTAAAGACTTTACTGAAACTTTTTTTCATAAAAAATATAATTTTTTTGCTAAACCTTGAACCAGATCAATGGCTCGTTGCAATAAGTATTTGCATGTAAAGCTGTTTGGGTAAAATAATACACTGTGTGACACACAGCAGATTGTAATGCCACTTTAATAAATGAATGTGCTCTAAAGAACTTAACTGTGTCCTTGCTGCCTCAAATTTTCTGCTGCGTTATCTCAACTATATTGGTTTGCTTTTACACCAGATAATTTTCTTCTTAGGCTGACATAAGGAGATGTCATTGCATGTAGTTATAAACTTACCTTTTCATTAACATCTTGCATCTTTTGATTTTAAAAAATCAATTTTGGGTATTGATTGTTTCCTTTCCAACCTGATCTTTTAGTTTTTTTGGCTTATAATGAGGTCAGACCTCTCATGGTTGACCCTACCGCTGAAGAAACTATCCCCAAATCAATACGAAGAAACAGACAGGAAATGATATTAGGAGACATTTTGTTGTTTTCGTAA